AAGTGTCTACAAACGTTGTATAAGAGCTTTCACCAAAATAATAAAGCTTGAGTTTAAATATGTATCTATAAACGTTGTATAAAAGTTGCTTCTACTCCTATACCGCGTAGACATATAATGCTGTAGTTGAACAGGTTCTCCAAACCAGTGTAAACAAGAGTTTTACAGAAGTTGTAATAAACAAATTGTACAGTTATTATTCAGCATGCAGTTGAATAAAATCACAATGGAAGCGTTTCTTCAACAAGAAATTGATTTTGGGCAAACGTTTTACTGAATACGTTAGACAACACCTTTGTGTTGCAGTTGTATAGGTTCTCCAAACGAGTGTAAACAAGGGTTTTATAAAAGTTGTGGTGAACACATTGTGCAATTATTATTCAACATGCAGCTGAACAAAATCAAAACGAAAGCGTTTCTTCAACTGGAAATTGTTACTTGGGTATATTTTAAGAATTATCTTAGAAGTTCGAATACACTTTAAAAATGTGTTAAAAAAATGAAAATACAAGATATTATTTTCTATATATAGAGAGAGTAGAAAGTGAGCAAGGACAACTTTTAGGAAGGTACAAATCGGTTTGATCATTTCTCTTTACCAAACTCCCCCGTTGGAGAGGGATAGTGAGGGGTATTCCCCCCGTCACCACTGGCAAAAAAGAGATGATCGATAGATCTGTTTCAAACACATCGTCGGTACATGAGCGAGTCGGCGATCATCTCTTTTTGCCAGTGGTGGCAGGGGTGGGGGGATACCCCTAAAGAGAGATGATCAAACCGATTTGTACCTTCCCAAGAGTTGTCCTTGCTCGCTTTCTACTCTCTATATACAATTTTCACACTGCCGTACTCTAACGGAACTATTAACTCTATACCTTCATCTCCTCATCTATCGTATAAAAATTACCACTTTAGCCTGTTATTTGAAATTAGCATCTTCACCTATGTAAATTGTTGACTTCACGCAGAAGTAATACAAAACATATAGTCAACGTTCTTAAATTGGTCCATAGTTCTCACTTGATGTTCGCTCTGCTTGGCCAGCATGTACGACCATAAATAAAAGCCCAGGGGATAAAGGTCCGAGGAGCTGGGAGGCCACAAAGTCTTATCGAGAAAATCAGTCAAATTCTCCCGACACCACGCTTGGACTATATTCGTCGTGTGAGCCGGTGTGCCGTCCTGTTGAAAGACGTAATGATCCTTCCCGTAGAGGTCCCGAAGTGCCGGGGCCACAACCTTCTCCAGAACCTCGGTCTTATAGTACGCGGCGTTGATTTTCACGTTTTTCACGATAAACACCAGTCAGAAAAACGATTGAAACACAATCTTCGTGCGTTTTGTGGGCGATATGTATGTGTACCCCGATGAATATGATTTTAATCAAAAATATTAACAGAATTTAAGAACATGTAAAAAAAACGATAAATATCGCCAAAACATGCCCAAAATATGTTACAGTTGTAGAAAAGCTGAAATCTATGTTTACACATACAAATCAGAAAAGAAATTATTTTTTCTATATTATATGTCTAATGGGTAGTCCTTAAGTTTTCTACTAACATAGCACCAACCAGATTTAAATAAAATGCTCCATTTGCAAAATAAAAGCATTTTAAGATTGCACTCGTATACCTCACCGTGTAAAATTTTGAAACCATCATCACTCTCATAGTTCTTCTATTCTCCACGAGTGCCAACTTTGATTTGCCAATATAGAAGCGTTTTTCCTACAGTCAACTCTCCATAACTCGATATTGAAGGAACCCAATTCTAGATAAACATTTCAAAAGGTCCTATCTGCATTGATCGATTCTCTTCATCGACTTTCTCTTTCGTCAATAACTCAGCTGCAAAACCTTTCCCTGTTGTATTTGACGTTTTGGACGCTAGATAAGAACCTGGGGTGGGACATGCTGTCAAATCAGCCTACTGATCATTCTTGTATGAAATTGGTTCCAAATGTAAACAAACCCTGTAGGTTTCCTTATGGCTTGTTTACATTTGGAACCTGATTAATTTAATCATTTTGTTCGACCATTTTCCACAGAGATGGCGCTGTTCCGCTGGTAGGAAGTGATAAAAATCCCCATATAGAAATTGAGAGAAGTGCGAAAAATTCGCTTTCGGTGCTTATTCAGGTGAAAAAAAAGTGAACGACAACCTAAAGAAATTAATCAGGGGCTTTGTCGTTCAGTTTTTTCCCAGAAATTATTGTTAAACAAGCTATAATTAATTAAAAATGATTTTTCCCCATACAGTTTTACCTGCTTTACTACCAGTTCCCAGAGAGCCAAAAAATTGAAATTTGAGAGAGAAAATTTGCTCTCACGAACTCAATCACTCAACATGCCATGTATTTTGTTGACACTCGTTTTGATTACAAAAGAGAGTACCTGAAACTAGAAAACATGTCTGGTACCTCTATTTATGCATTTAGTTTAACATTTGAAGTCCCTCCTTTTTTACATATTCTGCGCAAAAGATACTTTATGCCCCGCCCCATACATAAAATTCGGCGGGAAATTCTTGAGGGGTGAACTATTTTGTGTGCAGAATGTGTAAAAAAGGAGGGACTTCCAATAATAATCTAAATGCATATATAGAGGTACCAGACATGTTTTGCACTGCAGTGTCCTCTGTGAACAATTAACAGAAAACATATTGTGCGTAGTTTTCTGTAGATGTCACCGCAAACAACAGCAGTGACATCTGATGGAACATGAATGCAGAAGTTTGACAAAATTAATATTTTCTAACATTCGTTGCGATGCTCATGAACAGAGGATGATAGGAAACGGAACTAACATTCATTGTAATAGATTTTTGGTTTGCGTGTAGCAGTGGTTATGAAAAGAGAAAGTCAATGAAGAGAATCAATCAAAGCAAATAGGACCATTTGAAATGTTCATCGAGAATTCAAATCACTTTTTACGCGATTTTTTACGTGGTTTCTTTTAGTACATGGCTTTTGGAATTTACGTGGTTTTTTACGTGGATTTCGGAAATTAATCATTTTGTTCGACCATTTTCCACAGAGATGGCGCTATTCCGCTGGTAGGAAGTGATAAAAATCCCCATATAAAAATTGAGAGAAGTGGGAATAATTCGCTTTCGGTGCATATTCAGGTCAAAAAAAGTGAACGACAACCTAAAGAAATTAGTCAGGGGCTTTGCCGTTCAGTTTTTTCCCAGGAATTAATGCTAAACAAGCTACAATTAAATAAAAATGATTTTTCCCCATACAATTTTACCTGCTTTACTACCAGTTCCCAGAGAGCCAAAAAATTTCAAATTTGAGAGAGAAATTCTCTCTCACGAGCTCCATCTCTCAACATGCCATGTATTTTGTTGACACTCGATTTGTGATTTCCCTTTCACAGATTACAAAATAGAGTACCAGACACTACAAAACATGTCTGGTACCTCTATATATGCATTTGTTGCTTTAACATTTGAAGTCCCTCCTTTTTTACATATTCTGGGCAAAAGATACTTTATGCCCCGCCCCATACATAAAATTCGGCGGGAAATTCTGTGAGGGGTGAGCTATTTTGTGTGCAGAATGTGTAAAAAAGGAGGGACTTCGAATAATAATCTAAATGCATATATAGAGGTACCAGACATGTTTTGCACTGCAGTGTCCTCTGTGAATAATTATAGGAAAACAGATTGTGTCTAGTTTCCGATAGATGTCACCGCAAACAACAGCAGTGACATCTGATGGAACATGAATGCAGAAGCTTGACAAAATGATTAATTACACCGTTTTTTATTACAAGGAATTCGCAATTTACGTGGATTTTGGAATACACGCGGTTTTTTAAACGTAAATTCCGAAACTTACGTGGATTTCGGAATTTACGCGGTTTTTTTTACGTGGATTTCGGATTTCAAGTGGATTTTTACACAATTTGCCCCTTAAGTTTCAGCGATTTTTCAAAAAAGGTACAACCTACGATCTCATTCATTCAGAAATGACCTTTATTACAAAAATTCATAACTTTTGAACATTGGCCCCGTGGTTCAAAAGTTATGATTTTTTGAAAAGTCATTTTTGGAAAAAAAAAATCGATTTTTTTGACCACCCTAATGAAAGGTAAATAAGTTAAATAAAGGAAATGTTCACTCTAATGACAAAAAAAAAAAAAAAAAAAAAAATACGGTGCCAATATTTTGCGATAAGGAACAACACTACCAATTATTACGACATTCTGAGAACCACTATATCTTTTTTTCCTTGATTTGTTTTCCGTCGATCTTGTTTTCCGTGCTGAGCACCAATGCACAGATTTAGGTGGAATGATATGTTTTGAGCCTGCAATTGAAACTTTAGACTTAAAGTTTCTTCTACAAAGTTGTTCCTTATAGTTAGGCCCTCATTTTTATGACAATGATATCTAGGGTGGTTCTTATTATCATTAAAATGAAACATCTAACTTTTTTGTTTGAATAAATTAAGGTATACATTCTTTAGCAAAGTTATAGTTGAGCTAATTTCAAGCAACTTTGTTGATAACAACTTTTTTGTATCACGCTTACCACTACACCACTGACCACTATATCGCTTTGCTATGGAAGCCGGATTTATGGACTACTTGTCCGATTTTCGGTGCTTTACGGTATCTACATTCAAATTACATCACCTCTAAAGCACTAAAATGGACCAGCTCCATGTAGTTTGCCCTTTGCCAACAAAATAGTGCACCAATAGTGCTTGAAATATCATCTAGAGCAATTGGAAAATGAGGCACGTCGTCACTTTTGTACCACGCGTGTTGATCCATCGAAAACGTCATTCAATCCACCAAGCCAACCCTGATCGGTTCACAATTTCTCAAGATCCCATTCTCTCAATCTCCGCAACCGAAGAGAACCCAACACTCTGAGATCCGAGAAGGTAAGCCCCCCAGCAAAAAAGTCAACTCCAGCACTCACAGTCTGGCGATCATCAGTTTCGTTTCAACCCGCTTCCGAGACGGACGTGACCGACAAGCTTCAAGTATCGCGCGAGTTGTACACTTTTGCTCTTAAGAAAACTCCGCACTACGTGAACAAGGAAAACCACTTCATCCGTGTTGTGTTGCAGTTGTTGCACCTTCCTTGCATGGTCAGTAAATATTTAAATGTCTTTAACATAGTGTTATTCTCCTCTGCTCGACTCATGGCTGTGCGCGGGTGATTGCAAAACGTCGCATTCGTGCAAATGTAAATCAAACTGCCCGGATCGATCAACGTTTTGAACTTGCGAGGAAATTCCCGCGCGGTTCACATTGACTAATTGAGATTGAGTGATATTGCTGGTCTGGTCGGTAGGTTTCGTTGGTTGGGTCGGATCGGATAAGGCACCAGGCAGCACCAGGTTGGAACGAACTCCGTCATTGCCCTCAGCTGCCATTTGGTGTTGTTTCAGAGAGTTTAACCGCAATTTTGCTTTCTTGCTAAGTGTGCTTTGTGCTCTTTGCTTTTCGGAACAGTGATCGCGTGTAGGTTGACTTTCGACCGAGTCTCCGGGGCGGTGGTGGCGCCGAGGGGGACCAAAGACTGTGACGAACCAGCTCTGCTACTGCTGTGGCGATGGTGGTGTGTTGAATGTGAGTGGCTTACAAGATTACCGAACGTGCACCGTAGGCAACCGTGTTGACAAGAAACGGAGTCGCTAAGGTTGAGTCACCTACTCCCCAAGGTGCGCATGCTAATCCGTAGGTTTCAGTCTCCAGAAGGTGAAGTAGTGTAGTGCTGCGGTTCAAGTGAGGGGTACCAGATGTGAGTAACGATGACGACGGACGGTGCGCAAACAGAGGTATCAGCCGTATGTAGGTATATGAGGTCATTCGACCGTTTCGAGGTGCCAAATGTGTGCAGGTTTCCTTTAATGGGTCGAAGTTGAAACCTACGATGTAGACCGAATTGAAGTATTCGGTAGTTTCATTTTTGGAACATGCAATTTCAAACGAAAACCTATGAGCAAGTCCAATTTTTGTTTCCAGTTCGTTAATTCTTAATTAACTTTGCGTTGGAGGCATATATGCACTCGGATGGAAAAAAAAAAACATTGAATAGAATTGGTCTGAAGATTTCCGCATTTGAAGAGCGTTTGCTGAGCTCTTGTGAGCTAGCGTTGAATTCATAAATGGGTCCTGAAGACGTCATCGTATCATTTGCATTAAAAAATAATATTGCTTTGCTCGTTCGTGCAATTAAAGTATGTCCTGAAAAAAAAAAATTCACCGAATTCCGATTAATCCGTGAGTTTTCTATGATAAATGACGGTAAAAAGTTTTTGTCGCCCTGAAAAAAGTAAAATGTACCATAAAAAACGAATCAGCATCTACAAAAAAATTGTGCTTTTTTACCCCTAGGAAATAGCTAATTTATTCATAAAAATGAGAAACTGCTATCCATTAAAAAATTACAATTGTTCCATAAATAAAGCAATTTGAACCAAATTTACTGTCCTGCCTGTGTATTTTTTTTTGTCAGAGGTGCGGAGCGACGGACAAGCGTCTAAAATGAACTTCCAAAAGAAGCTTCTTTTTGAACCTTCTTAATAAGCTTATCTCTAGAAGCTTTTTCTTTATAATTATTTAAATTCGTTAAATAACATGGATAGAACAGTACATTCAGTATGAATACACAGCAAAAAATAAATTTTAAAATTACATCCACGAGGATGCACTTCAATCATGTCGATAATTCCATGTAATTTTTATGGTCACAAAAATAAACAAATGCAGTAAAAGCAGCGCAATGTCAGTTCATGCACTGTATTAAGATAATTTTGTCCTTTTTGGCTAGTAATATCACAACATATTTTTGACACGATTAAAGTGCATCCACTTTGATGTGGTATCAAAATTGATATTTTGCTGTGTAGCTACGCAATAAAGGAGAATTTTTCCAAGATTTATGGGTACATCTCTTTATTTATGGGTGCAACTTTCTTTAGTTACAAGCACAAGTGCATTTTTTTATTTATGGGCACAAGTTCCTTTAGGCAGCCCTAAGTATGCACCATTAGAATGGATGAATCGACCCATAAAAAAAATATTCCGTAAAAAACACCTACATGATCCTTTAAAACCCCGGTGAAAATCTCTAAAAAAGTGTATTGTAAACATGTACTGCCCACACTACACTACCGGGTTCAATCCCAGTCGGCGCCGCCGGGATGTTCTGAGGCATAACATCTCTGATCACCCTTCCTTCGGGAAGTAAAGCCGTTGGTCCCACGATGCGCTCTCTTGCCGTGCGGATCTATTTGCTTTTTGCTGAAGGAAGTGTTACTACCACCGACAAATAACTAAAACAATAAAATTTCTGATCAAAGCACACTACTGAAATCTGGTTCCATGTTCGCGGGAAATATTCAGCTAAGCCATGAACCCACATGCAAAATTTATGAATTGGTTCGTATCTGATCTATTCTGTACAAATTATTTGTATCTAGTCAAAAATCCTATGTTTTTGCCAGTTCGGATCACTGCACATTTAAATCGGCCGTTTACGATTTTCGGGCATAAGTCGGAATTACGGGTCACGTCAGTTTGTCGGTGTTACTACTACCTACAGCTACAACACATTTAAACAGCACTTTTCAGTGCTCAATATATTTGTAAATTTTCTACCTTATTTGACTCTGATTCCTTTTCGATCCTTGTGAAGACCCTACCCGAGGTGATCCTTCTTGGATATCGATTTGGAAAATTCCTCTTCGATCCTTCAGATTCTTATAGTAATCTGCTTGTAAGTCGATTTTGATAAAACATTTACTGCCGCCATGGCGCCTAAGCGCAACAGAAAAGGGCAATCTCTTGATCCCCCTTCTGATGAAATTAATTTGAGCAATCAATTTGATTTGCTCACGGATGATGAGAATGATCCATCATCCAGGAAAAATTCTAGTAAACTTTTCCGGCTTAATGCCAAGAAGGAAAAGATTTCCCCCTATTGTGATAACCACTTCCGATTTCCATGCTCTTCGCACGAACCTTTGGACTTCGTGAAATTCAAGTTTTCACTGCAAATAAGCCGACGTCGTGTATTGGCTGAAACCTTGGACGGATTCAAGTAACTTACTGAGAAGCATCACAAATTTTTTACTTACGACACCAAAACTGAACGTGTGTTCAAGGTTGTCATGAAAGGACTGCCTAGTGGTGAATCCCTGGATCAGATCAAAGATGAACTGGCAAAATTACTTGGAGTTGTGCCACTCCAAGTAATCAAAATAAAAATGAAATCCCGTCCTGGCGATTCGCGCAACGGGATTTCTAATGATTTATATTTAGTTCACTTCAAGTCTAGTGAACTAAACAACTTTAAGGCCTTGGGAAAAGCTAGCCTTATGCTCCATGTCCGAGTTAAGTGGGAACACTTCAGGAAGACTGCAGGGAATCTCCAAAACCTCATTCAGTGCCGTAAGTGCCAGGGATGGGGTCACGGAACTAAAAATTGCTAAATGCAATTGTGGTGATTCCTCTCACGCAAAGGACGACTGTCATGTGAAGAAAGATCCTAAGAAATTTAAATGTTCAAATTGTCTAGTCTAGTCTACACATACACAGCCAGTACTTGAAAGAATCCTGGAAAATGATACATCTATCATTTTTCTTGTCATTATTAATGCCTGCTGCACATCAAGGATGTGAAACAAACAATAAAGCGGCCAGGCCTACTGTGTAGCGTTTAGTTAATTTTTGTGGAAGTGAATGTTTACCATGTCTACTTAATAAGTATAGACAGTGGTTAACATTTAGTCCACAGGTAATCAAAGAGCGGGGACATACCGTACCAACCGCTCCGTATGCAGGATTTGAAAATAGGCTATATAAATCGTTGGGAGTGACAGAGCTAAGAAAGTTAATGTACACTCCTTGATTGTCCGATCTCCTGGGATGGAACACAGGTATTTACCCCTTGTGTTCGAGCGTACAGTCCTCCCTCCGTACAAGCGTGGACGGCACCGCCAACCCACTGCCATCCCTCAATCGATCCAGCCGACCTCAGTCGAAGGACAACAGAGAGCGGTGTGCGGACGTAACCTATACGGAGGGAATGCTGTATTCGCCTAGGTTATAGCGCCCTTGCTCGCTACCATTTTCTTCTAGCGGTTGGGACCTGAGCACTAACTCTTGTCCTAGCCCTATATGGCATATGGTTATAGCGCCATTACTCGCTTTCTGAAAAGAGAAGAAGGGAAGGGAAGGAGAGGAAAAGGACTTGGGAAAAGGAAATGCGGAATTCCTTTCCTCATTAGTATTTGTATCGTCAACTTTTATGAAAACTATATAAATCATTTGGGGCCTCCCTTAGCTCAGTCGGCAAAGGCGCAGCTACAAAGCAAGACCATGCTGGAGGTGGCTGGGTTCAATTCCCGGTCCGGTCTAGGAATTTTTCGGGTTGGAAAATTTCTCGACTTCCCTGGGCATAGAAGTATGATTGGACTTGCCACACAATTATACCAATGCAGAAATGGTACAGGCATCGAAAGCTCTCAATTAATAACTGTGGAAGTGCATCTAGAAGACTAAGTTGAGAGCACGCAATAAGCTAATATGCGATATGCAATAAGCTTTAAATGTGAAGAAGAAGAAGAAGAAGATAAATCATTTTTCCTTGGTCAGAGGTATTATTACGACTTTTCAATAAGATTGTCTTATCATTTGTTATTCAAAATTTAATGTTATAATGATCAACATAGCTTTGGATTATCCAATATAGATCGGTGACACTGTCCTGCAACCGATGATTTTTCTAATCCGAAAACTAAAAGTTACGAAAAAACACTGATGCCTTCATTAAGTTCCACTTTCACGCGACGTTCAATGGTTAAACAAGTAAACAAGTTATTAAAATGAAATCACGTACCCGAAAGCAGTCAACAATGTATCTTAAACCGGATCAAGCGTGCACCCTATTTTTCTAAACATTCCGACGCGTTCCGCCCAATATCTATCAATTACGTTTTTCTACAATAGTAGCCTGGGATAAATCCTAATTCGACCGACACGTGTTTGTTGAAAAATTATATTCTGCCTAATATCAGTAGTCAGTAGTCATTAGGAAACCTGTTACTATATTACCACATATCTCGATGAACATTCCAAA